GGAAGATCTAGGTCATCTGAAGCTATACATTCAGAAGAAGAGTCAATGGCCTCAAAATGTTAACTCTGTTTTTCTCTCCATGCATACTACCAAACCTGCTGAGTTTTTCTAGCATTTTCTACTTTTATTTCAGATTTCCTGCAGCTGCAGTATTTTGTTTTTCTTTGTATTTAATGCTTGAATTGCCTCCTGAGAGGAAGTTGGTCACCTGCCTTCCTGACCTCTTTTCCAATAAAACTTGAAGTGGCTGGTTTGGAGGCAGCTCAAATGGATGTGAAATCAGATTCTATTTCACCTTCGCAACTGCTCTTGACAAATTGTCCTTGTGGGGGTGGGGAAGGGAAACAAGGGGTACTGTGAAGAGGATGGTAAACAATGTCTGCATGAAACAGAAATGTTGAAAAGAAAATTATTAAATTAAATCCACTGTGAAGAAATTGGACATACTTGGATTGAAAGAAAAATGAGAGAAAACATAGATGGAATATTATATCATGAAAATGAAAGTACAAGAGCAAAAAATTGTTTCAGAGGTTTCAGGAATGAGATCAAAGCCGCAGGCTGGAAACAGGAAAAAGTAATTACTTGGTCAATCTCAATCATTTGAGGCTTCAATCAGTTGTGTAGAGATCCAGAGAAAAGAAAATTAAACAATGAAAAAGATGTTCGAAACTATGGATAAGATACAGAAAACAAAACTATTTTAGGTGGTTGGTGAGTTGGTAACTAAAGGCCCCACCTCAAAGCCTGAAGAGATAATGTCTCTCTTACATACAGCATTGTTGGAAATACCATACCAGGAAAAGACATTGAAACACGATTTATGAAAACTTTTAGAAGTAACATGAATGAATTCTTGAAAAAGTGACAGGTTGAAAATGTATGCAGAAAGAGCAGGGCAGTGGAGAGCTTATTCAGAGAATCAATGCCAACACTTCTGTGCTGTTTCTCTCAGTTTTCTTTTCTAGTCACTATTGAGTTGATGTGGAGGTGAGTATACATCATTGTCGTATACTTGAGATAACAATGTGTAGAGCTGGATGAACACAGTAGGCCAAGCAGCATCAGAGGAGCAGGAAGGCTGACGTTTCGGGCCTACTTGTTTTATTTAGTTCTTGTCATGTTACAGTCAGGGGGACTTTGCTGTCATAAGTAATTGCTGGTTAATACTTGCAGTGACTTTGTTTATTTGGACAGCAGTGATCAGAAAACCATGTGTATGCCTGATGGATAGGTTTTAGTAGGATTCTGATGGGTTTCAATTATATTCATGGTAACTATTAGATTCTACATTCTGTCCATACATCTGTGAGGGGAAAAAAATGCAGTTTTAACTGTTTTGCCACCTGACTAGAAAACTAGCGGGTTTTCAAATTGTTTGAACGGTGAGGAAGGGAATCACAGCAGCTAAATAAAAATAAAGTGTATGACGCAAATAATTAAAATTCTCAACGCAAGGATCGGAGTGAGACGACATGGTGCCTTATAATACAGTCACATCTAATTGTGCCCATATTGGTTCTTGTGCAATTGAACTAAAGGTCACGTGGCATGTTATGTTTGAATGTTTACGCTGTGACTGTGGTAATTGTACAAAAAAAAATGGCTGGAAAGAAAATGACTGTAACTAAGCAATTTGCATTTTCTAATATGTGGAAGGTATTTGGCAGAATAAAAGTCCTGATATTAAGTCATCCCAATCCTACTTTTAAGAACGAATTGATTCCTTACTGTCAGATTTGTTGTTATCTGCTATCTTTTCCAATCGATCGTGTTTTGTGTAATAAAACACAGTTATTATTAGCTGCCTGATCTTTCAAAGGAGTAATTGCAATCATCTACATACACACAAACTTAGACACAAGGTTCCCAGATAGTACACAGGAGCAGGGGTCGAGGGATTCTCCACTCCATAGCCAAGGGTTGATGAGATCAATTGTACACACTGGCACAACTTTGCATGCAACCCGACATCTTCCTGATTTGTATATGATAATAGAAGGCTATAAGAAGTAGGAGCAGGAAGTAGGCCATTTGGCCACCCAGCCTGCTCTACCATTCAATAAAATCCTGGCTGATGTGATTGAGGCCTCAACACCATTTTCCTGCTTGACTCCCATAACTCTTTTGTCCATTAACACTCAAAAATCTGACAACTTAGCCTTGAATTTATTCAATGACCTAATCTCCATTGCTCTCTGGGAAGAGAACTCCAAAGACTATCAACCTTGTGAGAGGATAGGTTTCCCTACATCCCAGTTTTAAATAGGAACCCTTTGCATTGAAATTTTTACCCTTATCTCATCTGCTGTATGGAGAATGAACATCCTTTCAACAGTTAACCTGCCTTCAGAACTTTATCTGTTTCAATAAAATTATCTCTGATTCTCTATGGTTCAGTTATTCATCGTCTTAAGTCATAGTTTACCTTTTTAAAAATCTTATATTCCCTTTCCTCTCATTCCTGTTTTCTTGGTCTCAGTAAAACACGTCATACTCTGTTCAAAGAATGGAAATTCAAATACTTGATGTTCTAACGAGAATGAGTCTAAAATCAACAAGCATCATTTTGAATTATATTGTGTCCAGGATTGAGGGATTAGCTATGGATGCCTAAAGTGGTCGGGGGTGCTCCTGTTAAACAGGGCATCCGTTATTCGAGTCAAACTAGGAATACCAGAAAAGAATACACAGTGAAATACAATTTGTAGTCATCTAACGCAAGGCACTGAAAAGAAAGATCTATATGACTCCTGAGAAAATATATTATTAGGAAAGCTTTGTGTAACAGATTATGTTACTCTTATCACTCCTTGTCATTTCTATTTTGGTGGGATTCCTTGGGCTGTTTATGTTAACAAAATATGAAGAAATTCTGCACAATATTTTCAAGGAAGTGTATTTTGTTTTGACTCAGAAAGTGCTCCCGTTAGAGATTGATTATAGTAAAGCAGTTGCAAGATGGGATTGTCTAACCTTGTATCAAAGTACATAATTCCTCCTGCTGCCATTTTAGTCACTCTTCTTGTCTTTTGCTGATCCAGCTAATAAACTCTGCTGCATTTACTTAGTTAGAAACTATCCCCTGCTTCTGTATGGGGCACTACTGTAATCACTTCTGGCTCAGTTTATAAAGGAATCCTTCAAATAGATTTAAACTGTAGACATCTATGAGTCTATAACCTTCAGATTTTGGAGTTTATAAATAAAGCTGAGTACAAACATGGTCTGTTAAGGATAGAGATAGTAGGAACTGCCGATGCTGGAGAATCTGAGATAACAAGGTGTAGACCTGGATGAACACAGCAGGACAGGCAGCATCAGAGGAGCAGGAAGGCTGACGCTTCGGGTCTGGACCCTTCTTCAGAAATGGGGGAGGGGAAAGGGACTCTGAAATAAATAGGGAGAGAGGGGGAGGTGATGATGGAAGGTGGATAAAGGAGCAGATAGGTGTAGAGGAGACGGACAGGTCAAGGCGGCGGGGATTGAACCAGTAAAGGTGAGTGTAGGTGGGGAGTTGGGATGGGGAATTGGTCAGTTGAGGGAAGACAGACAGGTCGAGGTGGCAGGGTGAGGCTTGTAGGTGCGGGTGGGGGTAGGTCAGTGAGGTGGGAGGAGCGGATAGGTGGAAGAAAAGATGGACAGGTCAAGGAGGCAGGGACAAGCTGGGCTGGTTTTGGGATGAGGTCAGTGGTGGGGAGATTTTGAAGCTTGTGAAGTCCACATTGAGACCATTGGGCTGCAGGGTACCCAAGCGAAATATGAGGTGCTGTTCCTGCAACCTTCGGACGGCATCAAAGATTGCAGCGATTGCAGCTATGAGACAAGACTATATTTGTTACATGATTGAAAGATAAAAGAACAGGGTAAACACATGATTTTTTTTATAGAAGATGAACAGGATAAAACCAATATGGAGATTGGATTTTCATGTACACTGTCTGGATGGTGATCTTGTCATGTGGATTTCCGGCCTTCAGAGAATCTGTCTGATTTTCATTGTGCTGAAACAATTGAATCAAAATCAGTGGAGTCCTGTAAAGGGTTGTCTAATGAGTCATATTACCAACCAGGTAATGATGACATAAATGTACCCCATTGACTCATTAGGTGGAAGAACTGAGTTTTTTGTTATAATTTCCATGTTAAAGACACTGTCTGATCTCCAACTTGTGTAGTCCAGGTGGCTGCAGTTAATCAATTCCATCCCATTCACAATCTCTGATCATTTCAGCTTATATCGAGCTTCTTGAACATCGGCCAGCCTTCAGCTTTGAGCCACGTTTATAATGACCCTTCACTCAGAAGCTTCCCTAAGTCTCCAGGGATGGTCTTGAGAAATTCAGCTTTTCTTTTACATAAAACCTCAGGTTTAGTCTGATGCATGTCTTGAACCTCCCACCTCTCCTCTTCAGATTGGTTTGTTTGTCTTCCAATCTCTGTTTATCGCACAAATAATGGGCTCGTTCAGCCTTGATTGTATAGTGCAGCTTATCTGGCTGTCTTTTCAGCCATATGAATTCCTCAGAAGCTAACATAATCAGTTCCAAACGTTAGTCACAACATCAAACACATTTCCTCTCCTATGTAATGGGGTTGATTTTCAACCCATCTCCCTGGGGAAAACCAGGTGGCTGAAAAGTGAACAGTTTTTTTTAATAGACTCAGATCCCGACTCCTGCCAACTGTTTGAATCCATAAGCTGTGGATTGGTGCAGGCGGATAAGATGCTGTCTTAAAGTTACTGGTAGCTTCATAAACTTATGCCAACTAGCATTCTTTAATATTGGTAGACTAACACTTTCCTTTCTGGGAGTTGAAGAAACAGGGCTGAAAAAGAAATACAGTACCCTGTGTGCACCCCACCAGTGCGTCCTCCTGCCATCATGACTGTACTACCCCACTCCATCTTTACTCCCTGAGATCATTCCAAAACACTCTTCCTGCTATTTAGCTGGAAGCAGGATGGTAATCTTTCACTATTTGTTTTTCATTTTCAGGCGGTTACGGTCTTTATGCAATTGCAGTCAGGAATTTCTAGCATCTCTGATGTTCTGAAATGAAACTACAAGGTGTTTTGATAGTAACCACTCTGCAAGCTATTACAGTGCTTCACAAATTCAAGAAACTTTGTTTTTTTTTGTTTTAAGGAAGCAATCAGACCAGATTAATTTCTGGCACCTCAGGAATTCTTCAGTTGTTGACTCGATCATATTCATGCTAATATAGAATTATCAACCAGAATCTTAGGACATCTATTCTGTTTACTGTGCTGTGCAAAGTAACATTTGCTGTGTTCTGCAGAAGTTACAACATTCCGGTTCACTTCAAAATTCTAACAGAAGACTAAACCTCATTTTTCTTTGCAAGCATTAACCCCATTGTAAAGAACAGTGCACTGTTAAGTTTAATGCGTTGGAAACCCCGGACCAATTTTCTAGTCAGGCCTGATCTGGAAGGAATCCAAAACTAACAGTATAAAATTCTTTATTTTGGTTTCCTGGTGACTATTTTTTTTACAAGAACTGCATTTCACGATGCATGTTGTTATGTTCGGCTTTAAGCTCTTCTGCACAGCACAAAATGAACCCCACTAAGACTGAACAGTGGGAAAAAATGTAATAAAGGTTTCATCCAAAACATATAAAACTTTGATTGAGCACCAACAGTGATGTGTCTGTATTCCACTGTGGGATCAAGAGTAATCCTACCACAATAGGTCTATCTTCTTAAAACAAGCATATTAGTATTATGTTAGATTCAATAAAAAACATGTTTTTAAGAAGGTTGAGTTTATATAGAACTCTCAGATTGGAGTTCAGGAAACAGCTGTGCCCTGAATCCCAGCAAGTGCAATCAATCCAATGCAGCCCTGTCATCACTTTCAAATCTTTGATTCAAATCTCCATGTAGTTTCATTTAAATAACATAAGAGAGATTCATTAAGCACCACCATGTCTCCCTATGATCTTAGTGTTATTGTTATCCTGTTTGTACCAATGGTTTAATTTCTGTCAGGTATTTAAATGCACCAATCCCAGAAAGGCATCAGGCACCTGGAAGAAAAATTAAGGACTGGTATCTGACTTATTATTTTACTTAACTTCATCAGGTCACCTCTAAGTCTATCTTCATTCAGCTGTTGAACTCTAACTGTAGATAACTAAGGTTCTATTGACTAGGAATTGTTGTTATAATTCATCACTGCACTATTTCCAATGCAATTATGTCATTCACTGTGTGAGAGACCAGAAGTTCAAATGTTGTTCAATCAATGATTTCTATGTTGACAAAATTGCATTCTTTGATTTGATTTGCTTTGAAAGGTTAGCTTTAGTGAGTTTCTTTCCACTGATTGTGAATTGCATTGATCTGTTCAGCTTCTTTAATGGTAAGTATGCAGTGTTGAACTACGTGTATGACACTACATTGATCTACATTTCATGGGCTGATAATGGTGAGCCTTTTCCTGCTACAGTCTATGCAAATAGTCACAAGTATCATATGTAAATAGCTAAATAAAAATTACAACAAAACTGTCTTTGAATGAATCTATATAGTGTGGAAACGGGCCAATTGGCCCAAGGAGTCCACACTGACTCTCCGAAGAGCATTCCAGGCAGATCCCTGTAACTCTGTATGTCCCATGGCCAATCCATCTCACCTGCACATCTTTGGACTATGGGAGGAAACCAGAGCGCCCATAGGAAACCCACACAGACAGTTGCCCAAGGCTGGAATTGAACCTGGGTCCCTGGAGTTGTGAGGCAGTAGTGCTAACTACCGAGCCATCGTGCCACCCCAAATTATTGATTTAAATAATGCAAGGCAGTCATTTCTTATTGCACTCTACTGATTTATCTCAGATGATTTCTTCTGAAATAATGGGACCAAGAGTCACAAGTAATGACCAATATCGAGACAAATGATCCTGAACAGCAAAAACTGGCTTCTAACCACACAATGTGCCTATTTTCCCAAAGATAGTAGTTGAAATGTTTGTGGCACTGACCACATTGAACACAAAAGAACTGCAATAGATTTTTTTGAAAAATTCTCTATATCCAATAGAAAATTTCATCAGCATTTCATTACTTTCTCTCAAGATACTGGAGTGGTGGAAATGTTAGCAGAGTGATAATCCAGAAGTGTGTGCTAATGCTTTGGCAACACTGATCCAAATTCCTCTGGACTAGTAGTAGGGTTTGGATTCAATGAACAACCATGGACTATAAAGCCAATAATAGTAATAGTGATTGATTGTTATAAAACAAAATCCAGAATCTGCCATCCTTACCTGGTTTTGCTGACATGTGACTCTGGACCCATAGCAATGTGGTTGACTCTTAACTGCCCTCTGAAATGGCCTCTCAAGCTACTCAGTTCAAGGGCAATTAGGGATAGACAGAATTGTTTGGACTTGCCATTGATGCCCACATCACATGTAAGATTAACAAAGGACATAATGGACTGTATGATTCAAGGAACACATGTTACTTTGTTGAGAAATTCATAGAATTTTGTGTTTGTCACAGAGTACCACTGCACAATACTTGTTGGAATAAAAATAGAGGTCATGGAATTCTTTAGACCTACTCCCCATTTCATTTGGATCAATTTTAAATTTCATGTCAACTCCATTTTCTTTGCTCTATTCCCTTTGATGCACTTAACTTACAAACATCTACCTATTCAATTGCCCCAACAATAACTTTTGGGTAGGGTTCCAAATTTCCGAAGCTCAGAGTTAAGAAAATTGCATGGTCCACAAACTAAGCCTGTAACAAAGTGCCCCAGATGGCCTAATTCTTTTTGAGGGTTTGAGTGTTGGGGGCAGGGAAAGGCATTTGGCAGCAGTGTTGCTGGTGTTAGCAGGAGTAAGGCATGCTGTCACCAGAGACAGTGCCAAGGTAGCTACAGGTCCTGCCAGATGCTGAGCTGAGTTGCCTGAAGGCCCGCCTTGATGATCCAGGATTTTTGAGGATGTTTAGAAACAACTGAATTTAAAACCCTCCAGCCTTAACCTCTCACACCCCCAAAGAAACATTCCTTATGCCCTGTCCACACCAGTCAATTGCACAACATGCCTCTCTACCCACTCCCATGGACCTTCATACACTTCATGCCAACCTATGTCCCGTTCATACCCTCCAGAGACTCTTTATAGCCTCTTTGCCAAGTAAGTGCCAATTCATACCAACACATGCCCTCCGCACCCATTGGCCTTTCATTGCCGGCTCACCCAGTATCCATAACAGCTGACCTAAGGAATCGTCTGAGATGAAGTAACATAACCTTCTGTCTCTTGATGAATTATTTTAAAAGAGTCTTATTGATAAAAACCAATTACTTCATGTAACTTAATTCAAATAATGAATCACATAAAAGCAAGTATTTGTATTTATGACTTCACCTCAAAAACTTCATAAGGTTTTCGACCTGCAAATCAATAATTAAAGTGACAGGCATTCTAATGTGGTAGGGAACGGTTGTGAAATCCGTCATGTAACAAGAATTTTAAAATAATAGGTCTCAGAATAATGTCTACAGGTAAGATATACTGCAAGCACCTCTCCATCTTTATCAAAACTTAGGCCATTATATTAGACTTAGTTTATGCAACCAATGCTCATAATCTAAAATCTATGCCCCAGGATCATTCAAATAAATCTAGGGCCAATTAAATATTGAATACGTGATCTGGATATCTTTTCAGCACTGAATTTATACATTGTTGCTGCATACAATGGAATGGCAAGATAAACATTGTTAAATAATAAAAAAAATCAATCCAATAAAGTGCAGTTAGGGTAAAAATATGGATTATAACATTTGCTATTTTTGAGGTGGAAATGCCACAGCAACATCTGGCAGGATAAAATATGTGACCATGCATGGAAACGTACCTCACAGAAATGCCACCCCAGTGTTACCCAACCAACTGTCTCCCCATTGAAACACATCAATCAAACTGAAATTTCTACTCTTGCTCTTTAGATGAGTGGTAGACTTGCTGGAAAGCTATGCCATTTCTAGTCTAATACCCTTTTTAACAATGCGGTCATTGTTGATTTAATTGGAGATGCGTAGGGGAAAGCAGTGGCACAGTAATTGCAAGTCCCAGTCCAAAGTTCTGGGGATATGGGTTGTAATATCAACTTGGCAAATGGTTGAAACTTGAATTCAATAAAATTCTGGAATTGAAAGCTAGCCTAAATTTGGCCATTTAACCATTGTTATAAAATACCCATCGGGTTTACTGATGCCTTTGAGGGAAGGAAATCAGTCAGCTTTACTAGGTTCTGGACCACAGCAAAGCACTTGATAATGACTACTCTCCGAAATGACCCTAACAAACCAATTAATTTCAGGGGTAATTAGGGATGGACAACAAAAACCGGCCCAGCTAGTCATGGCAACATCATACAGTTGGAGAAAGAATAGAAGTCACATAGATTTTCCATGGAGCTGTTTGACAAGAAAGCAATGAAACTGAATGGTAATAGAAACTTAAAGGTTCCAAAGCAAGCATTAGACAAAGGGAAAAGCTTCAGGAACTATTTATCAAGCTGCAGAGGCCAGAGTAATCTATCTTTATCTGTGGATCTTACTTAAGACTTGTGCTTGGCCAATTTTTTTTCTTTCCCTCCTTGAACCGTGCGAAAAAAAAAGAAGAAACATAACTGGCAATTCTTCATGGAGGAGTTAGCCCCTGGTACAGCAGTGTCAGTTCTGCTTGAGAAATGGGACTGAGATTTACATTGGGTGACGCCTGCTTGCTGGAAAGAATTCTTTTCCAAGTGAAATGGAATAATAAGAATGAAATATTATAAACTGCTCGAGTTGTTGTGAGCATTGCCAGACTTTAAGATTTCAGTTCTCCAAGGTTTAAAGGAGCTCTATGTTTTACTGAATCTCCATTGAGGAAAAAGAGAACATATCATACACTTATGATCCAAAAGTACTTTAAAGAAACATGTGTACATACATATGAAATGTTTAAACATTTATTATCATGTCAAAAATTACTGAAAGTCCTCC